TGTTATCCCAAACATACACCTTTCTATTCCCCGCTGCGCAGTCTGCAGCCCATAGATGGCTTTCATGCTTATGGTTCACGTTTTTCGCCTATATGTTAGCACCGGGAGAGCAAACTGATCTAAAGCTTTCCATTACAAGCACAGGGGACAGTTTCACTGACTGGAACTCTTCCTCAGTCTTCCAAAAGTGCTCGATGTTCCCCTGCCATTTTTACACTTCTGTAGATTACACAGCGCCTATGGCAGAGACGTAGTCTCGTACCCCTGCGAGCTTAAACCCATAAACTACAACACGTCACGGCGGAGTCACATATTACTCAAATATTGCATGAGTCTGCTTCAGGTTCATTTTCAGTCTTGGATTCTTCTTTGCAGCTCTTCTAATAACACTAAGATGACCAGGATATCATTTGCAAGCCGTAGTCTTATGTAGTGATGTTTTAGAAACCTCTTCTAAAGATGCGATAGATAACATTGGTGATAATGCGTCTTCCTGTATACAGCTTTCTCGATTCTGAACTTATCTATGCTTACGTCAAGCTCTACTCTAACAGTTGCATTATTGTAAACTCTTGCGATGCATCCGCATCGTTCCTCGATTCTCTGACTCTTCAAGCAGTTCAGTACAGGACAGGTGTACTCGTTCTCGAAATCGAAGATGCCCAGCAGAGGGGAAGCTGATAATCATGGTTTATCACGGTCTGAGTTACTTGTTGTACCACTGACCATGCTCTATCGATCTAATTCCATTTCTGAATCCTGAATGTTCATTTTGAATATGCAGAATCCAGTATTTTTTAGTCCATTCAGAAGTATAAATGTATGACTATAAAGTATGAAAACAGATAAAAATCTGGTGGTCAGTTTTCACTTTAATCCACATCAAATTATCGGGTATTCAAAAACACTTGCATCCTTCTGTTACTGCTACCTAATGAGAAGGAGCAACGAAAAACAAAGCTTTAAACACAGATTTGCCAAAATAATCAATCACGAGGGATTACAAAGTTGCCTGTAACTTATATTAAGCGGCTATACGTCTCAGTGCATGCATCCAGCGTTGATATAAAGAGAATCCAAACGAGCTGAAGAACGGATTTTCAGTGGAGCAGAATGAACTTGCATAGTAGGCTAATCTGGCAGCTGTTTACTGTAGCGCTAACCTGAGGGTAATTAACTACAGCCTTTGGCTGTTCTGCGATATGTCAAAGCCTCAAACCGCAATCAAGCGCCAGAGGGCAGTCATCGAGATTACCAATTAGCTCTCTGTGCACCATAATACATAGAACTACCCATAACGTTATCCATCCTTGGGAGAGCAGGTGACATTGAGCAATTCATCGATACGACAAATGCTATTTGGACGGTGATTCAAACGCAGCAGCATGACGTCAGTCATGTCGGGAGGTGAAGTTCCATCCCATGATTGACAACACGCGCCTCCTCACACCCCATTCTGCTATTATGTAGTATAACGCAAAGAACTCCAACGTCACTTGTCTCAGTGCAAGTTGCTTGATCACTGTGGTGTTTCTAAGTAGTCATACGAATAAAACAGCCTCTGTTAGAATCATCGTCTGTGCGTAGTGGGACCGTTGCGCTAATCTGAAGAATACTCGCCGGTCATCACGTTGACCATACAGGGACTGAGACTCTGCTTTGTCCATAATTTTCTTCCCTTGATTACTCTTTTATATTCTGTCTTCTTGGAACAAGGGAGACGTAAAGCACGATGGGGCAGTCACGTTACACCAATGTGAACAGACGTCTGCTTTTGAATCAAACGCAGCCATTGGCTTCTACGAAGGAACGCTCGTCTGCTGACCGTCTGAACCGAAGCAGCCACTTTCTCAACACTTGGTCGTTAACAACCACCACTCGGGGTTTTATAATAATCCATCAGAGTATCACTGGTCGACCGTTTCGGGGTTGACGACAGGCGTTCACTGCTACCGTAGTGGTTAAATGAGGGCAAGCCCCCACCGTCCTTCACGCCGCTAAGAAAACCCTTACCTTGATCGTTGTTCACTCCCTGCGATATGGACGAGAAGATGGTTTTTGGGAAGCCCTGCTAAGTCGAATGCAAGATTTTTTTCGTATATTGCGCATAAAACAGATGTCAGTTTTGATTCAAAATGATCAGGGTAATAACACACAAATCTGGATATTATCACATCGCGAATTTTAACCCAGATTATTAAATTGAAGATATTAATCTTCTCAGTTCGAAAGAATATTTTACTGCATAAATAAAATCAATGAATTGAATTTTTCACCAAAGACAGAAACGGAACTAAACTTGAATGACACAGAATGTACTCGAAAAAATGATAAAAATAAACAAAGGTAAAATATGTTTTCCAATACAAGCCTTTAAAAATAGTTACAATTTTCTTTTCCTTGTGCCTATTTTGTTTTTTTTTTTAGTTCTTTGTCATTCAAGTTTTGCAATGCTAAAAGTTTTGTGGTACTCGCTATTATACTGTGGTCATATAAAGAAATACTGCATGAAAAGATTAGTCATGCCATTTCGGAATTAATACAGACGGTGCTCCTTCAAGATGACATAACAATTTCAAATATCACACCAATTCTTTCCGGTTCTGGGCAATTTTAGTGGCTTTAACAATCACTCACCGTTTCGTGTTTCTGTGTTTATAATTCTGTCTATTTAGATTTATAACCAGCCTTGCTACAGAGACAGTGTCTCAAAGTAATTCTAAGTAGAAAATGATCATATGAAATCCGTGTGCACTACTACTTTCATACTTGCTAACACTTGGAACTACTTCTAGGATTTCACAGCAATCTCATAAGCAGTTTACAATGGTGCAATGATAACAAGGTTGAATGCAAATTCAACTTCATCAGGCCGTCGAACTTTTGAATCGGTTCGAAGTACTGAAACTATAAAGAAAGGACAGTTTCTTAATACCAATTCTTCGAAGTGATCGGGAAATTTCATGGTAATCGGTATCTAATATATTTTGGTTATTATATTTGATTCATATTTTCAATTTTTTCTCCCAAAAAGAGATACATATGACATTTGACACCTGAAAATAGTCTTCAAGTCCACTTGAACACTTTCCCTGATTAATTCTTACAATCAGATAAATAAAACGAAATAAATGCAGACCGACAGTAATACCGGTAATTATTTTCCAACCTGAACTTTTAGCTTCCTTAAAGACGGACGAATAACAGCTGAAATGAGTAGATACGCGAATTCTTAAATTAATGTTGTAAGGAAAACGAAAACAATATCCTGAAGACCTTTATGAGAGGTGTTTACTGTATAGTACAATTTCAGAGAGGCTGATCGAAAGACCGGCTCCGTTGGTACGGCTATACGGAAAGAAGATGCGATAATTATATTGGAAATGTGTTCAAAGCACTGATGCTGTAACGGAAGAAAACTAGGGAGAGACTTAAGAAAAAGTAATTTCGAGGAGTGACCGAAGATTCTACCAAAGATCTAAAAATGCAGCGGTAGTAAACTGGAACCGCAGAGCCACACGCTAAGAAAAAGAAGAAAAAACTAGAAGTCAGATAAATAATGAAACGGTTAAAAAGCTGGGGGAAAAACTTTTACTGATGAGCTTTCGGAAGTGGAAACTGTGTTACTTCTTCAACGCACAGTAATCACTTTGTACGATGAAGACGAAATTCTGTTTCGAATTCCAAAAGCAGTTCACGATATAAACATTTTTTAGCCTTTGAACTGCCTCATTATTTATCTTTTATCAATATGCGTCTGTTGATGTCTTTTCTAGAGTAAGTTCTACAATTATGTCTCTAGCTTGTTTGGGCTACAAGGAAGGTCAGTCTGGGAGACGCATGAAACTCCAATATCTCCCTGATAGGAGGCTTGCTCCATTACTTTCCTCATGCGGCATTAAGACGAAGGGCGAAAGCTTTGTAGGCGCTAAGATGTCATGAATCGTTTGTGACATTTCACCTTAGCGGCGAAGTGATGATCTCCATTTGTGAAAGGAAGATGCAGTGAAGACCAGTAGAACTTGCTGATGACAATATATACGTTTCTGCCAATTTTCCGGATTTTCACGAAGTAGTCGCGATGTCCGATAGCCTCTCATAGTCTCGGATTCCGTTTTTTTAAGCAGGTCACGGATTCATGGCATTTTAGCCTTTGCAGTGCACAAAATCATGTTCGAATATCAATGGATATAGCTCGAGCCGTCGGCATATACAAAAAAAGTATAAACAGACACTGTGTACGGGTTGATGATAACC